TTGGCCCAGATTTTAAATTTTGTTACAAATTTGGTCCAAACTTTACCCTTTTTGCCCAAATTTTATAATTTTATTATGAATTCATCATAACTTTTGTTCGTTTTACAAATTTTTTCTCAAAAAATTGTTTCTAATATGTTTTTTCTTTATAAAATCATATTTATACAAAAAAACGTATTTTCATATAAAAATTTTATATTTTCTATATATATATATATTTTAATTTTTTTTTTTTTTGTATATGAAGTATCTAGTTATAAAAATATATTTATTAAATATATAAATATATACAAAACCGTTATTATAAAAAAATGTATAAAAAACGTATTTTACAAAAAAATATATATACAAACACCTATCACATTTGTGTGTGTGTGTGTGTGTATATATATATATATATATATATATATATATATGCACACAAATCAGTGTGTATCTATTTTTTTTTTATAAAATTGTGTTTGTTTATATATTTTTTTATAAAAATGTGTTTGACTAATTTTTTATATAATACGTGTTTGTATACATTTTATTAAATCATGCTTGTATACATTTTATAAAATGTGTTTAAATAATTTTTTATATAATATGTGTTTGTATATATTTTATAAATCGTGTTTGTATATATTTTATAAAATGTATACAAACACGTATTACATAAAAAATTATTCAAACAAGTTTTTATAAAAAAAAATGTAAACAAACAATATTTTATAAAAAAATATAGATAAAATAGGTGTTTGTATACGTTTTTTTTTTTCTAAAATACATTTTTGTATACACTTTTTATATAAACGGATTTGTATATATTTATATACTTAATAATTATTTTTTTATAACTAGATATTTCATATAAAAAAACTTTTTTAAAAAGGTTTATATATATATATATAATATATATATATATATATATATATATATATATATATATATATATATATATATATATATATAATATTAAATTTTTAAGTGAAAACATGCTTTTTTTTATAAATATGATTTTATAAAGAAAAAACATATTAGAAATAATTATTTGATAAAAAAGTTGTAAAAAAAACTAAAGTTAGGATGAATTCATATTAAAATTCTAAAATTTGGGCAAAAAAAGTAAAGTTTGGACCAAATTTGTAACAAAATTTAAAATTTGGGCCAAAAGTGTAAAATTGGACCAAATTTGTAATAAAATTTGAAATTTGGGCCAAAAATGTAATTTTGAAAATTGGATGACCTGTTGACCGGGTCAAAGGGTTAAATTGAATACAATTGTCGGTATTTGAAACTTAATTGAATAAAAAAAATATATAGGGATTAAATCGATTATGGGATCAATATGTAGGGACTTTATTGCAGTTTTCCCTTCTTTTCTTTTTTTCTCTTTGTTTAAGTGTTCTTTTAAGACAATCATTTTATGTTGTGGTTGAAATTTTAATTTAACTATGTTAAATTCATGTTATCGATCATATATTATGGAATGTGATATATATAATATTTAATTAAATATTGTATATATGTTTTTATGTTTGTGTTGCTTTTAAAGTAATAATTAATTAAAAATCATGGATATGCTATATTATCCATATTATCCATGTAAGTCTTTTTTAAAATGCAAAATTATCTATTTTATCACTTTGTATTTTAGTATATGTTTAACATTTTAAGTATAATAATAAGTTTTTTTTTTTTTTTTTTTTTTTTTTTTTTAAAGTTTTCTTTCACTTATTAATAATAATAAGTGGTTTTAAAATTAACGAACAATAGTTATAAATAATAAAATCAAATTATAAAAATCATGGATGAACAATAATTTTAAATGATAATAACATCAAATTAAAAATTACATAACGTTAGCTACAAATAAATTCTATTTTAAATGAACATCATTAATGAAATTAGAAAATAAATACATAAGTAACAATTTAAATTAATTACTCAAAACAATTATTAAAAATAATACTAAATAGATAATTATATTTAATTCAGTTAATAAGGAAGGTGGGTTGATGTTAATGAATATTATTGTTCAAAATAATTAATATTATATATATATATATATTAGTGTAAAAATATTATGTCAAAGTTAATGTCAAAAGCAAAACCATTATCAACATATATTTTTCAATATTCTAACAATATATATTTAACCCCCACGATGTTGGTAATACATGGTCTAGTGCATATCATCACGTACACCAACCTACCCAATGTAAATGCTTAGGGGACCTACCCGTTTATAACATGTCATCATGTGTTGACCTAAATTTATGTGCCAACCAATGTTCCTTGGATGGACCGACATCAAAGTAAAACCTGTTCTCCTAGGTTGTATAGACAATATCAAAGAGTATCGAAGCTTCGATGAACCTTGTAACAAAGACAATGCTCTAGAACTTTTGACTAGATGTACGCTTTTTCCTTGGCTTGGACATTTGTTTTTCTAGTCAAATTTTACCTACGTAATTTCTTGGAGCGCTTTGCTCTTAGATGAGTCTTCATATCTCAACAGTCCTCTTCGCTTGCTTAATAAATGGAACTAACTAAGAGCATTGATAATAGGAGTTTTTTCAAACAAAAATTCTCTTGAAATTTGAAAAAAGTTATTGGATAAACTTTCTCAAACCAAAGTTTTCTCAAAGAGCCTGTATGTAACTTTTTGTCTTGAGTTTATTTCATTGATTGTGATGGGTCTTATATGTTTTTTTATTAATTATAATACGTAGACATAATTAAAAAAAGATATTCGAATACTCTTAAGATGTTGTTGTTGTTATTGTTTTTTTTTAAATTTTACAAAAGCTCTTTTTGACCTCTTTTGTTTGCGGCATATGTTTGCTTGAAGACTATTTCTTTTTTAGAAGACCTCGGACGTCAAAAGGTTTTCATGCCTTTCTTTAAAAGACTTGGAAATCACTTATAAGACTTGCACGGGTAATATATATATATATATATATATATATATATATATATATATGGAATATACATTACAAGCCCACCTAAGCTTAGGTACTAAACCTCTAAAATATGTCGTTTTAATATGTTAAATATACCCGGTTGGGTTTCACTTGATAAATATATCATTCTCCATAACATTTTCTTCTTTTATTATCGTTTTATCATCTCCGTTTTCTTTCCTCGATTATCATTTATCACTTCATCCAAGTGAAAATTACTAAACCCTAAACCTAAATCTAAACCCTAAATTTGAACCCTAAACACTAAAGCTAAACCCTAAACCCTAAATCTAAACACTAAACCCTAAACCCTAAACCCTAAACCTTAACCCTAAACCCTAAACTCTAAACCTTAAACCCTATAGTGTCGATCTTGAATTTACATCTTGAAGTATTAATCGTGAATCCATTAACCGTAATCTTTATATAGTAAAACAATGTATTTTCAAGAGGTTTAGTACCTAAGCTTAGGTGAGGCTGTAATGTATATTCCCTTTTCTCATATATATATATATATATATATATATATATATATATATATATATATATATATATATATATATATATATATATATATATATATATATATATTGGTGTTAATTTACACCAATATATTGTCAAATGTGTTAATTTAAAGTTTGCATAACTACACTGAAATTCTCATTCCGATAGACTTGATATATATTGGTGTTATAAGTTAAACATAGAATGCTTGATTATGAATTCATTCACTAATAGTTACATATATAGATGACTTTGTTTTCAATCATATTAAATAGTTGTTTTATTTTATTTTAATCAAATTAGTTGAAATTTGATCAACTTAGTAGTCACACTACATTTATTAGGGGGTTGATTTTTAAAATATTATTTACACAAACAACTTGAAATTAATACATTTGACTTAGATTACAATACATTGAAAAATCATTTTTTTAAAAACTTAATTTTCTATGTAGTATACAAATTTTAAAAACAAACAAAAATAGATTTTAACACTCTAAACAAATAATTCATAATTTTTTTATGAAATGTTGGATAGAATGATGCTTTTCGCAAAATATAATATAGTAGCAACCTTTTTTTAATCGGAATCCAAACATTTTAGACATAATAAGAGGCTACAATGAGTTTTTAAAGAAACGATTGGTGTATTTAATGGAACTTTGATACATGCTCCTGTTCTTGTTAAAAAACAAGATTTATACAGAGAAAGGGAAAAAGACGATTATGATTAAAACGTATTGATAACTTATGACTTCAAAATGATTTTAACGTTTATTATAGCCGACTATGAAAAGGGAGCACATGATGTTAAAATATTATCAGAAGTATTAAAATATCCACATACATCATTTCCGTTTCCACGACCATATATGTTTATGGGTTTTTAAATATTTATACTTTAATTATAAAGTTAATAAATCATTTATATTTTTTATAGAGGAATATTATCCTTGTGATGTCACGTATGCACACATTTGATGATTTGTGGCTTTGTATCATAATGTAATGTATTGACTTAGAGATTTTCGTTACAGATGACTAATAAAGAAAAAATTAATCATGCACATGAAAAACTTCGGAACATCATTGAATGTGTTTTTGGTGTCTTGAAAGCACAATTCTCAACATTAAAGAAGATAAAATTATTTTTGTTGGTTACACAAAGAACATTACCATTGCATCTTTAACGTTTCATAATTTTAGAAGGAAATATGGTTTGAGCGATGGATTCTTTACTCAATACGATCAACCTAATGTGTCGTTTCGAAATAGTCATGTTTGTATCGATGATTAGGCCTGTTGAAAAAACCCGAAACCCGTTCTACCTACCCGACTCGTTCCGAATTCGGGTAAAATGGGCCGGGTAACGGGTATGAACATTCGGGTAATAGGTTAACCCGATAATAATATAGGTCGGGTTTCAGGTATAAATATTTATTTTCGGGTATACCCGAATACCCGAATTCGTTTTTTAAATAATACCAAATATACAATGCAGTCACGTACGCACACTTCAAATCAAACAAAATCCTTCGCTTGCTTCTTATGAACGACAACTCGACAGTCGACGCAAACTTGCAAAGGAAATACGATGCTGAAGCTGAAATCCTGAACCGTCATCACAATTCTCAGTTTCTTACTATCGCACGGAATGGAATTAAAAAAGTACATAACATATTATAATGATTTGTATTGTTATTATATATGTACCTCTTAATTGTATGGAGTATTTTCATACCCGATTATTTATTAAACCAACTAACATGTAAAAATAAAAAAATAAAGAAATAAAATTATCAATAAGTGTCATTTAAGAAATTTTCGGGTATACCCGATAATTACCTAACCCGACCTCAAACCCGAATTATAATATAGGTCGGGTATCGGGTATTATTTTTTTAAGGAAATACCCGTTCTACTCAACCCGTTCTAACCGAAACCCGAAAATTTTACCCGTTCAACACCCCTATCGATGATAGTGAAGACGAGGTTGAAGATATGGTATTACAACATATAGAAAATATATGGTTTAGTTAGTGGCGGATCCAAAATCAAAGTAAAGGGATATCCCTAACAAAAAAAAAAATCGTGTAATACACAATAAAAAAAAAATCCACAAAAAATTCCATTACTGAATTTTTTTTGAGGGGGATATATACTAGATCTGCCATTGGGTTACGTTGGATGAAATTGTTGAGTAGTTAATAAAAAATATAGAATAACATTTTTTTTTTTTTGTTTTTTTAAGTTATTGTGCATATATGAATTATATTTCAATGTTGTAAACTATAATTATTTTAATTACAAGGTTAAAAAAAATTTAAGATAAAAATCAGTTTTTTTTAGCTTGTAGATGTTAAAAAAGAAAGAATATTTTTTTTTGTAGGTTGCAAATGTTTGATACACATCTTGTTTTGTAGATTCTTGTATATATAATCTGCAAACTGCAAATATTTTAGCTTTTAAAAAACAAATAGTATCTTAGTCGACCTCTTCTTTTATAAATATAATCCAGATCTATATATGATTAACTTCTCCTAAAACAAATAACACCTAAAAATATATTAAAACGAAGATAACAAACAACACCTAAAAATATATTAAAACGAAGATAACAAAGAATTTGTGAACAATTTGAAAAAAAAAAAAGACTAGGACAAAAATTGCTGTTATTGCGTTATCAAGTTTAGGGTCCAGGGTTACAGAAGTTCTTATCTTTAAGTACAGGGGCTAAAGTGATAATAGCTGATAATTATCATCTCAACGTGTTTTAAATCAGTGAGAACTGAGAGGACTCTTGCTTGACGGCTTTTAGGGTTTATTACGAGCGTTTTAGGGTTTTTATGAGTACGGATACGGCCACAGATTCTTCATCAATCGAAGTTCTGTAATGTATGTTCTTTCCTTTTATTGATAATCTACATGATGTATTTGTTCATTTTTTGTGAATATCTTACCTGTAGCGTTGCTGTTTGTGTACGTAGTTTTGAGGAATGAGTTTTATCTTGAATTATTTATGTTGTCTGAACATGTTCTTAAAGAGTAATGATTAAATTTTCTTCACCTTTTTTTGTGCATTTCAAACTATATTAAATATTCTATAGAACATGTGTTAGTGTTACAGGCGTTTGTTATGTGTTAAAAATTAAAAGTCTTTATTTAAGCTTTGCCAAACACATCTGTCCCCTTTAAGGTAGCCAAGTATACGGATTATAACAATATTATAAAAAATAGAGTAAATTACAAATTGGTCCCCATGCTTTACTCCAAATCGCAAATTTGGTAGAGTTTTGAAATCTTCCCAAAGTCATTCTTCACGTTTGCATCATTACAGATTTTAGTCCATTTGAAAACAGAATATAATATAAGTATTAAAAGAAACAACATTAGACCAAACTTGAGATTTTGCGTGAAGCATGTTGACCAAATCCATCACTTAAGGACAACTCCGAGAAGATTTATAAAATGGACCAAATTTGTAATTACTTCAAAAAAATTAATTACGTTTGATTGGAGATCTTATTTGTGTAGGGGACAATAGGGTGTGGGCATAAATAGGATACATTGGACTTCAAACATAATTAATGTTTGTTAATTCATGAAAAGCTTCAAAATCCACTGTTAAGGGTTTATGTTATAAGTGGGTTTCTCTTTGCAGCATACGATCGATTTACTAGCAAATAGCAATAGCTGACAAAAGCTCTATCTTGGATCAGGTAACTGTCTTTTTATCATAGGAGCTATCACCTTTGGTTTTGTAGTTTATTGATTACTGGGCATTGGTAATGCTCTATACACTCAGACACTTGAGGTTCATTAATAAATATGGAGTAATAATAATATAAGTTGTTTCAAAGAAGTGTGAAAGCAGTTGGTTGCTATATGATATATGATACTCCCTTTGTTTTAATGATGGTTATGACTTACCATTTCTTATTCATATAAGACAAGACTTTGATTGCTTACTAGCAATCAAATAGAAATTGAAACCTTGTTTATGTAAGTGTTGTGTTGGATAACAACTATGAGGTTCTGTTTTTGCAGAGTGTTCAAGAAACAGATTTGCAAAATGCATTGGACTATGCTAGAAGTGTTTACAAATCTTCTCTCTACCTTCCCCTTGTATGTTTTCATTATTTTTGTTTTTTTCTTTTTTATCATGTTGTCAATTGGTATAATAATTCACTTTTCAAATGCTTGTAGGCTAGAGTAAGGGAAGCCCGTGATAAGGCATTTGAGTATTTTAGATATATGCCAAGAGCCGGTGCCATAAGGGAAAAAGTTAAACAAAATATTCGTGACGCTTTGCAGGAGAGATTTAAGGTAGTTTTTTTTTTTTTTTTTGGCAAAATCTTTAATAAACTGTTGAATGCAATATGCTCATTTAACCTTATTTAGAATTATTTACAGGTAGTTTTTTTTTATCCACAAATACTTGGGTGTCTCCTTTCTATCTTGATCCATCTAGTCCATAAAGGAAACAAGTACTTGCTTTATACAATTTCTGATTACTTTCTTTTTTTTTTTTTTTTTTTTTTTTTTTTTTTTTTTTGTGTTTCTTGTAGGATGCATTAAAAGAAGCACATGAGGAGGCTATCCTGAAGGCATCAGTGGCATTTGATTTTGCAACAAGGGTTGTAGGTTCTGGTGCACAAGAATACAAAAGGTGTCTTGAGGAGTTTATGACAAATGAATACGAGGTAGCTTTTCTGATGAATCCTTTGTTATACTGTTAACTGTTAACATAGATACATTTAATTAGTTTATGAATTATACCATTAAGCTACCATAGCCATACACGTGTAATGGATTTGCCATTGGGTACTATATTTGCAGAATAGTTGTCTTAAAGAGCTTTTAGATTTAGATCTAAAGATTATTTGCTATCGGATGTTTATGCTTTTTGTTGTGGGGCAAATAGAAATGTATGCAGTTTGCAAAAACATGTAAATGTTTTGTTTCTTGAATCTTGATCATGTGCAACATATTTTATATTCTTTATTCGTATTTATAGCTTTTATCAAATAGTCATTTCTCTTTTATTCGGATTTGAGAATCGCACAAAGCCCTCAACTATATTCACATCTTATAGGCTTTTGAGGATTCACAGTGCAGAAGGGCAATGGAACATGCTGCTGATGTTTTCTATTCTGTTCTTAACACTCAATCAGTATGCTTTCCCAAATCTACCTTATTTTTGTGTAATGGTATTAATATTTTGTCAATTTCAGAACATTGACCCTTATCTTAAGAAGCCACCATTCCAAGTTGATAAAAGCAATTGGTTTTCACTTTTCATCTTACAGCATGTGATGATAGGCATTGTTAAAGAACCAATTGGATCCGTTTCAGTACGTCGTTCTGCTCGCAAAGGCAATAATAATCAGGTACCTTTTCTTTTTGGTTTGCAGTTTTGAGATTAGGGTTTTTGGTGCAACCATTTAGTAACACAAAACTGTTTTTATTTTCAGTTTTTAGTAGAAAACGCATTGGACCATGCTAAAGATGTTTACAAGTCTTGTTTCAAACCTCCAGTAGTATGTTTTCTGAATTCTTGATTATTATTTTTTTTTTTATGGTGTGATCACTTGGTATGATAGTTTACTTTTTAGTAGGCTGTGTTAGCAGAAGCCGGTAATAAGGCAGTAGCTGCTTTTAGGGGTGTTGCTGTAGGGGCCGGTGGGCCGGGTTCTATAAGGAGAAAATATAAACATATTCTTCGTGACATCATGCATAAGGAATATAAGGTAGATTTTCTGGTGAAACCTTTAATAAATTAGTATTTTTAAACAAACGTGGTATAATAATAATAGTTCACTTTTCAAATGCTTGTAGGTTGCAATAGAAAAAACACATGAGGAGGCTGCTTGAAGCGCATTGCTAGCTTTTGAATCTACAGCAGGGGCTGTAGGTTCTGTTGATGAAAAATACAAAAGGCTTCTTGAGGATTTCATGAGAAACGAATACGAGGTGAAGTTTTTCTGGCAAAAGTAACCTATTTTATGTTATTGTTGTGGCTCCAAGTTGTCAACTATTTACATCTTTTAGGGTTTTGAAGAATCAGAGAACAGAAGGATCCTAGCACATGTTCTTGAACTTCTCAAACAACCCCTGGTATGCTTTTTGAAATCTTCATTATTTTTTTATATGGTCGTCACTTCATTTGGTATAATAATTCAATTTCAAATGCTTGTAGGATATTGAACATGAGGAGGACATGTTCAAAAGGCAATAGGGCAGGTTGTACTTGTGGTATGTATAAAAATTAGGGCAAAATATTGTAGGTGTTGCTTTTGAAAATGTCATCTTTGACTGGTGGCTTTGATCTGCCAAAATTGTGCTTCTTTCTGCCTATCGAATTGAATTTCATGATCTACTGATAGACGTGTTTTTGGTCAAATTGCACAAACTATAACGAGCTGAGCTGCAACTGGACTATAAATCTAGATTGGCTAATTATTGACCGGGTTATAGTGCCCTAAACATGGGCTTATGCTGCCTTTTCCTTTCAGCATTTAAGTTAGTGTAGATTTTTTTCTGCATCTTTGGACAAACTATATAACTCCCTTAACTTTTATCATGCTTATTCTTCTCTATCTTTGCTACAATTTAGGCTCTGGAGTCAACATAATCCGATAAGTTATGGCTGAGTTACAAAGCTTCAAACATGGCTGGTCGGTCTTGTTAAAAGTTAGTTTGGTACTAATGGGATTTGGTACCAACAATTTGGATAATTTGGTTTTCAGTATTTACCGATCTCTCCCCTACAACATACAATGATAGTATATTACATGTATATCTATAAACTCATATATAAACCAAAATACTTAACTAAATCATAATTAATCGATTTTAAAATTAAAAACACCATCTTTAAATTGATTCTAATTATTAAAAACTAAATTAATTTGTAACATTGCATGTTACTCTTCTCCCAAAAATTCGATAGAAATCTGGATGTATCCAATCGATAACATAGTTAGGGTCGATATATTCTTTGTGAATTCGCCCAATAATCTCGATAGACCGGATAAATGAGAGTTCGGGTCCCAAATTCAAAATCTGACATGGAGTTGCCATCAACCAAAATTCACTATGACATTGACAGGTACTTTTAAGATTCTGGTCATTTGAATTCACTTATTTGTAGCTGCAAATCCTTATTGTATAACCATCAACTACATATCCATTACATAGTTTAGAGTAGTATAATCACATGCCTCTAAAATCAATTGTAGGAGATGAAATATATTGTTTGCCAATCGATTATGAATATGTAATCATTACATTTTGCTAATCGATTTTGCAGAATTTGAAGCATCAAATATATATGCCCTGATTATTTATTTATTTATTTATTTATTTTTTGCTAAAAGAAGTTATTTATGTTAAAAGAAACTATTTTTTAGGTAACAAATAATTATTTATTGTAGAATTTTACATATTAAAAATAAAAAAATTATGACATCTTAAAAATATATACTAACAGTTTAAAAACATATTTTTTTGATTAATTTTGGAAACTTAAAATTATGTTATAGTTTATTATATTTATATAATTAATATATGTGAAATTTATTAACGGGGTCTCCATGAGGGTTTTGGGACAAGATTGTCAAACCCCGCCCCTGAAATTAAAACGGGGGTTAATCTTGCCTCCACCCTCGATTTTTTAATTTTTTTTCCCAAATGAGACAGAATCCCCACGGAAATGGGGTTCCACATGACTTTTTGACATCCCTAGATTGCAAATGAGTATTTAAGTAATTATTTATAATCTAACTTAAAGATAAGTTTTTTAATCTTTAAATATATTAGTTATTATTTAATTAAGTATTTGGATATATATATATATGTGAGTTTATATGTTTCATAAAGATATACATGTAATTTGAAGTTTTACAAAGATATTATCCTAATTATGAAAGTTTACAATGATATAGACGAAATTATTCATTTTATTTAAGTGAATTTGGCATGTCGAATGTAAACATAATAAATTGATCCATTTTTAATCAAATGGGTCATAATTCTATCAAATTATCTTTTTCATTGTCTTGTTATTTAAATGTGAACTTTATGTTAATTTACTTGATTTTAATTTATTCGTCATAAAAACATTAATACAATCTCATTTTACAACACATCAAATCAGAAAGCGAACAATCGATATAGACTCGAACAGTTGATACATTCCAACTCGAAAAAAACTTGAAAATGAGAATAACTTCTTTCAGTAATATGAAAGTATTGACCAATAAATAATGGAGAGAATGAATCGAATTTACTCGCTTAGTTATTAATTTTAACTAGTGTAAAGACCCGTGTGTTGCATGGGTTAGATGGTCGGTCTGATAATTTGAAGTTATATCAAAAGCTTGTGACATGAAATAGAGAATACAATCTTTCATGGTTGTCTATTCTAAAAGAATAAAAGTACACTGCTAAATTTGGTTAGGACAATGCAATACATTTGTCTTCTCTAGGTTATTCTTTGTCTCTCCCAGTTTGTGTGCCTTTAAATGTCATCATAGCCGAGTATCTTCGCCTTAGGTCATCAAGCTAATCCAAAAAAAAGTAATTATATTTTATAAAGTTATCCAAATAATAGAGTTTCATATGTTAAAATGATAAAATGTAACTCTTCTGTTTCTATTGTTTCGAATACTAATTTGGTCCATATAGATTTAGCTTCGTTTGCAGCTGGCACAATCTTCTTTAGATTCAAAGATGAAAGTAATTCCATAATGCAGCTAAATAATACATGGAAGTATTCCTGCCAATCAAATATAAATTAGTTAATGGTCACGTCAACAGTAATTCTCTCAAAAGTTATCATAACTCAAATACAAAGTATATTGCTATTTCTCGTCTCACCTTCCCCTGGTTGCATTTACTTGTAACAACCATTGGAAGTTTAACAATATCTTGTCTGAAAATACTTTCATTTTTCCTTCGATGTTCCTATATGTTATGTATATTTTGTTCAACCTAAATGCACCAAATATTTGTATCAATATAAAATGCATAAAAAAAAACACAATTATACATATATATGTTATGGTATGTACCCTGGTTTAATACAATGATTAGAGAAATTGTACTTTCCTGTCATCAGTAAGTCTCCATATGAATAAAGATAATCATTTAAACCAAACGACCATCAAGTCTACATAAAGTTATGCTCATTTGACTTGCTTGCCCTCTAATTTCCCCACTTGTGAAAGATCCAAATAATGAAAGGATTTCAAATCTTCCCTCTCTGCAACAAATATCAACACACATTCATTTGTTTGTTTATTATAATTTATAGCATCATCCTTTCATTCTTCCCATTACAACATTTTACTTTCATTTTTGTCCTTATTAACAAATTGTACTTTCCTCTTTTTCTTATTAAGACGTCATACATTAAAAAATGCACAACTTATATACATTTAATTTTTTTCTTGTTAACACATTAGGTTGGTTTTTATAAAGTAGAATGTTGTAATAAGAAGATACGAAAGTATCATATGTTATATAATATATAATAAACAAATAAATAAAAGTAGGTTGTTATTTATTAACATAAATTAAGTTTCACTTTCACACCTCATATGTTATAGTGCCACAGAGTTATATATGAAATGACACCAATCACCGATAGAACGCATATTGACCGGGGCTTGTCTTTTGTAAGCAAAATTATTTTAGATGTAACATCTTAAAAAGCCTAATCATAATTATTCATCATTAGCTACTCACTCCAAGTTCATCAACAAAAAAAAACATTTGTTATGTCACTACAAAGATATAGGGCTTCAGAATTATAGAAGTATCGTTTTGGATCGATAATTATGGGTTCAGTGATTTATTCAGCACTAGAAGGTTTTGTTCGGAACGTTGGTTCTCAGGAGGGTGGTAGGAAGTGATTTCGAGGACAAAATCTAAGTTAAGTGAGAGAGAGTTGTAACACCTATTCTGAATCGTTTCCTATGTGGAGGTGGTGACCCGAAGACCAAATATCATCAGGCTTAGGGCCTTTAAGAAAATATATTTAGACTCATTTGGGTGTGGGTAATGTAATTTGGATGATTCGGGAGTTCATCTATGTTTTGGCGCCAAAGAGTATTTCGGTAAAGTGTCAGTTCGGGCTTTTATAAATTTTGGATTTTTTTTTTCCAGAAAGTTTTAAGGCATGGATGAGTTGATAGAAGTGTCGAGCTTCTCGTTACCTTTTCGTGGATATAAAGAATGTCGAAATTAGAGTTAGAACAAAGAAGTTATGCTCGTTTGAGGTTTGGTTGGTTTTGGGTTATGCTGAGTACTCTCGTAGAGAGGGGAGTACATTGGGTGTACTGAGGCACCCTGAGTACGTTGGGCGTACGCAATCAGTGCCCAAACCCTATTTTCGTGGTTTGAGCCTTATTTAAGCTCCTTAACTCCCCCAAACTTACTCCATTCTCAGCCTCCACCCCTCCAACACCCCTTCCATGAAACTCTAACCCTAGTTTAGTCTTGAGTGCTAAAAGAAGGTGTTTTTGAGTGCTTTGAAGTATGCATGATGCACCTTGGAGAAGAAAGAACTTCTTGGAGAAATGTTGGTTGCATTGGAGCTTGTAGATCCGAACTTTGTTCACTTTGATCTATCTTTTAGAGGTATAAAGTTTGAATCTTGATAATGCATTTGTTAGATCTAACTAGTTTCAGATGTTATAAGCGTTTGGTAATTTTAGTGCATAAAGTTTAGATCTTGAAAGTTTGTGACCTTGTTATGGATAAAGTTGAAAATTTTATCCATCGAAACATTATTTTGATCCAGATATGAAAGTTGGAGACTTGTACTTATGGATTAAGTTGAAAAAGATGAACTTTTGGGTCCCTTTAAGATTTAAAGACTAAATCTTGTCTGTTGGGATTATTTTAATGGATAAAGTTGGAAACTTTATCCATTATAAAGCTATTATGAACTATAAAAATGTGGAATTGGCCCTTCTATCCCTTCCATGCAAGAGTTGTGATGTCTTATTGGGTTAAGAACTCAGGGTTTTGGACATTAAGCACTTTATAGCCATGAAAAGTCATCAAGTTGGAAACTTTATGACTTAAGACATCATTTTGGGCTTGAATATGAGTTTTGGATGTAAGAACTTAATGGTAAAAGCTCTTAATGAAGTTTTGGGATTGGGCTGAGTACGTTGGGCGTACCTGGTGGTATGATGCACGTACGTGGTCAGCCCCCCGCTATTGGTCAACATTAGAGTACGCTGGGTGTACTCTCTTGGTATACAGGGCGTACTCCGCTGGGAAGAAATATTGACTTTTGGACCTTGATCGTTAACTTTGACTTTGACTTTAACCTAAGGGTATTTTGGGTTATCGGGTTAATTATTGATTAAAATTGTATTTATTGTTAGTTGGTGCGAGGTTATCTGGTTCGGTGGTCCAAGCAGTTATTTGATTATCAGCGGATTGATGTGAGTTTCCTCACTATGTTTAGCGGGTCGAAGACACCAATGCACACCCATGATCTGTTATGTTATAATGCTCGTTGTTTGTGTGGCACTTATATGTGTATGTGCTTATATGCATATTGGGCGGGGCCCGATGGTTATTCTATATGCCATTACTTGTTATGTTCATATTAATTGTATGTGAGCGGGGCCCGTTATACTCATTGGGTGGGGCCCGTTATGTGCTATGTATGTATGATATGTAGTATTTTGGGGAACTCACTAAGCTTTGTGATTACGATATTTTGTTTATGTTTCAGACACTTCTGGTTTCAAAGGGAATAACCCATGATGATTGCAAAGCACACACCATTCGTTCCCGTATTTTGTGATTTACTCTGATGATGATGATGTATTGATAAAATTTGATTACCTTGGTTTTGTGACAATGATATGGTTTACTGTTTTATTAATTTAAAAATGAAAATTTTTTGGTCTTATTTTTGGGACGTTTCATTTACCTTATGATTTCGAAACTTGGAGCTTTAAAATTTGATTTTCAACAAACAAAACAAAAGATTGTTTGATTGTAAGAACTTAAAGCAAGAGGGAGGGCGGTGTAGAACACCTGATGGATGGAGGAAGGGGCTAAAGTTGGTTGTAAACCAAGCTGGTTGAGAAGCTGTTGAAGAGCTTGCAACTGATCAATAGGTAGTGTAGTTGGGGTGGAGGTGGACTGATTGGTGGTGGTGGCAGTAAACGCCTGAACAGGGGCCACGATAGGGGTGGTTTTCCTGATCATGAAGTCATGATCAGCAATGAGGTCGTTAAGGTCTTGAAAAGAGGTGGGGGTTTGTCGAGCAAGAAGGTTGGACTTAAGTCCATTGAGGTT